GATGGAACAGATGTAGCAGTCAAGAGACTCTCTAGTAGCTCAGGGCAAGGCATAGAAGAGTTCAAGAATGAAGTCAGGTTGATTTCCAAACTACAACACAGAAATCTTGTCAGGCTAATTGGTTGCTGTGTTGAAAGAGAAGAAAGAGTACTAATTTATGAATTTCTGGTCAACAAAAGCTTGGACAATTTTTTGTTTGGTAGGTTCCACCAAGAATTTTTCTTTTCTTCCTTAGTTGCATCATATCACATCTCATCATATCATCTTCTTAACCATAAAGTCGTGATCTTTTCCCTGCATTGAATATTGTTCCTAGATTTAAGCCTGCAGGATTAGTAATCTTGCCAGCCTGAATTTTGTTGATAACTTTTGATGCATTACATCAAAAGAGAATTGTAAGTGTTAATCATGTTTCCAATGGATGCATTTTATTAGATCCAAGTCCAACAAAAAGAGCAGAACTATCTTGGGCAGAACGTTTCAACATCGTCCATGGGATTGCTCGTGGGCTTCTTTATCTCCATCGTGATTCTTCTTTAAGGGTTATACACCGTGATTTGAAGGTCAGCAACATTCTCTTAGATGAAAAAATGAACCCAAAAATTTCAGATTTTGGATTGGCAAGGATCTTTGAAGGGACACAATATTTGGCAAAGACTCACAAGGTGGTTGGAACACTGTAAGCACAGTTCTTCTTCTTGAACATATTTAACTTTTATTATTCAACTTTTATTCTCCATGAATTAAATATCACCCTCAAAAATTGGCAGCAGAAAGTGCACAAATACAAATAAGCTGAGCCATAAGCCTTAGATTTTCTCCTTAAACAAATAGATTTAGCTAACACCAGTGAAGAGTTATGGAATTAAGTTGAATAAAGAAATTATGTGGTTCAACACTTCAACACAGTACTAACAAGAAAAGTAGATATTGATAAACATTATCAATATTAATTTGCTTATTCCTTCTTCCAAATAAATTTCAGTGGCTATATGTCTCCTGAGTATGGATTGGCTGGAATATTTTCTGAGAAATCAGATGTCTTCAGCTTTGGAGTTCTGCTATTAGAGATTGTTAGTGGCAAGAAGGTTACCAGGTTCCTCTATAACGATGAATATCTAAGCCTTCTTGCCCATGTAAGTACTGCACATCTTGTTTCAAATTTGCATCTCTGCATTATTTGTCTTCTAAATTAATACTGACCCCCACTACACTGTATCAGGCATGGCAACTATGGAATAAAGACAAGGAGCTAGACTTAATTGATGAAGCACTGGCTGATTCATTTTCCTCGACTGAAGTAAAGAGGTGCATACAGGTTGCTCTTCTTTGTGTTCAGGACAATGCGGAAAATAGGCCAACCATGGCAGCAGTGATTTCCATGCTGAGCAGTGAAACAGAGCTTTTGCAACCAAAGGAACCTACTTTTACATTCCATAGTCCATCAAGATTTGATCAACCTAATGACAACACTCCAAGCTCCGTCTGTGAGATTACTATGTCACTTGCTGGAGGCCGATAATTTCTGATTAGTGAAACCCTACTTTTTTACTACTACCATTATTATTGTCATTGAGATTCATTTGTTAGATTGAAATTAAAAAAAAAAAAGGAAGAAAAGAAGAAAGTGATTCTACAAAAATATATAAATTTGAAAATGTTGAAACAGCCTGTTGTTGGCATCAATTATCATCATTTATTTGATTGTTACTGGATTCTCTGGTCGTTTAACCTGTATAAATTAATTGTTAAATTTTAAAGTGAGATATCGATAGCTTTGGCGTAATACTACTTGAGATTGTTAGTGGTGGGAAGAACACTAGCTTTCATTCATCTGATCACACTAGCCTGATTGATTACGCAATTATGTATGCGGTTTTCATCAAGACTAGCCTACTCTCAAATAAGAAACTGAACTTTTCTCACGGGCAACTAGAGCTGCAACACTAATAGGCATGGGGGAATCCAACATGTTTCGGACATGGGGGATCTTAATAGGCCAGTAGCACATCCTTGCATTGGGCTTCTTGTAATTTTAGTTTCATTCAAGCCCTATAACCAAAAGCCTAATAAGCCCACCATTGCTGAGGGGGGTAGGCCTGAAACCATGCCAAACCAATTGCAGATTCCCGACGAGGATTAAGCCATTGAGGCAATGAGCATATAGTAAAGAAATAGAGTTCCGAACTTTACACCTTCTTCCCTGTCCTTCGTCATCTCCATCGCAATTACTCTTTTCCCTTGTTAGATATCTGTTATTCCCTAACGCCATGCCTATCATCAATGCTGGTCCTCAGCACCAATAGCGTGAGGGTCTCGTGCTCAAGGACCCTGGACCTGCTGGGTTTGCTTTCATTTTTTGTCCAGCTTTGTCAAATGGAAATTCTGTGGTGAGTTATCAATAGCCGTTAGCCAAGAACAAGATTTTTACTTTCTCTCTGTTTGTGGTTTTAAGATTCATGGGTTTTGCTTGATATTGTTTGAAAGCTACGTTTTTTCCAATAAAATAAAGCTCAAGTGATGAGAAATTTCAGGATTTGCTTTCCTTTAATTGTCTTAAGTGGCCTCCTTTAATACACTAGGGGAACCGGAATTCGTCGGGTCATTTATGCCACTAGGAATTAAGAAATCTGCTTCTGGGTTTATGTATGTGTGAAACCCATATGAATTCCTGTGATGGATAGACATGGATGGAGTAAAAGAAGGCACGGAGAGTGGAAAGAGTCTGTTTAGGCAGGCTTCTTGAAAAGTTTCTACATTTTCTTGTTAGAAAATACATTTCTTAGCCTTGAAGCGTTATGTGGTTCAGTGATGAACTGAGGAACCTGATATGCTAGTACTGATCAGATATTGACCATATTAATAATTAATTGGTCTTTGGAACAGAATGGGACCATGTACTCAGTTATCTAAACTACTGTTTGAATTTGTATGCAATTGAAGGAAAGAAACTTAGAACCATCCAGAGAAAACATCAATTCTTCCTTGGTTAAGGAGCTTGACTTCTGCTTCTTAAGTCACATGCTTTAAATAGAAATATTAGACATGCTGGCCCCATCAAAAATAATCTTGCACCCCAGAAAATTGAGGCCTTAATAATATTAATATTGTGTATTCAAACCAACTGATTAAACTGTTCTAGATGCAACTACATTCAAAAGTTAAGTGTAGTCTTTATATTGGTGAAGGTAGTATGTGCAAGGTGTCTGACTAAAAATTCAATTTTTTTAACATGCTAGATGTAGGATGTAAGTTGATCTCTTGACATTCGCTTGAGTATTGGATGGCGCGGTTGCCTAAGCTATTCAAATAAGGCCAGTAAATCAAAGGACAATTTGTGTAGTTCTGCCAAGAACTTTTATTTTTTCCCTTAGATGTATCACATTCATAACGTCATCTTAACCATAAAGTCATGATACTTTCCCTGCATTTAATATTGTTTTCCGTATTAAGCCTGGATTAGTTATCTTGTTAGCCTGAATTCTGCTGATAACTTTTGATAAGTTGCATCAAAAGAGAATTATAAGTATTAATCATGTTTACAATGGATGCATTTTATTAGATCCAACAAAAAGAGCAGACCTATCTTGGGCAAAACGTTTCAACATCATCCTGGGGGTTGCTCATGGGCTTCTTTATCTCCATCATGATTCTTGTTTAACGGTTATACACCGTGATTTGAAGGTCAGCAACATTCTCTTAGATGACAAAATGAATCCAAAAATTTCAGATTTTAGATTGGCAAGGATCTTTGAAGGGACACAGTATCTGGCAAATACACACAAGGTTGTTGGAACACTGTAAGCACAATTTTCCTTCTTGAACGTATTCAACTATTATTCTTAATGAATTATGCTTTCCCCTTAGACATTGGAACAAGTAGTGCACAAATAGGCCAAGTCATAAGCAGGTCTTTTCCCTCGCAAACAGGTTTAGCTCGCTCAGGTTATGGAAATTATGTTGAATAGGGAAATTAGGTGGTTCAACTAGCTATTGTTAGTACCATTTAAAAAAAAAAAAAAAAATCCTAGCTATCAATAAACATTAGCAATATTAATTTGCTTGTTCTGTTTTTCCAAATAAATTTCAGTGGCTATATGTCTCCTGAGTATGCATTGGGTGGGATATTTTCCGAGAAATCAAGTGTATTTAGCTTTGGAGTTCTGCTATTAGAGATTGTTAGTGGCAAGAAGGCTACCAGCTTCCTTTATCACGGTGAACCTCTAAGCCTTCTTTCCCATGTAAGTACTCACGTTTCTTGTTTCAAATTCGCGTCTGTGCATAGTTTGGATCATCTAGTCATACTGATCATACCGTATCAGGCATGGCAACTACGGAGTGAAGGCAAAGAGCTAGACTTAATACATGAAGCACTGACTGATTCATTTTCCTTGACAGAAGCAAGACGTGCATACAGGCGGCCCTTCTTTGTGTTCAGGATCACGCTGAAAATAGGCCAACCATGCCAGCAGTGGTTTCCATGCTAAGCAGTGAAACATAGCTTCTGCAACCCAAACAACCTACTTTTACATTCCATGGTCCAAAATTTGATCAACCCAAAGACAACAATTCTTCCCCAATAAATGAGATTACAACGTCACTCGCTGAAGACCGATAACTTCTAGCAACTGAAACCGCACTTTTTTTTTTTTGGTTCTTTTTTGGTTTTATTATTGAGAATCAGCTGTTACATAAAGTCATAACCAAAGATATTGAATCATGAAGTTCAAATGTGTTTAATCAGCCTGTTGCCATTGTATTTCCGCTGTTGCTGCGCCGGTCATCACCATCTATTGATTGATTGCTACTGGATTATATTTGATATTTGAACCAGTACTACATGAAGTCATCAGTCAGTTTATTCTCCTAAGCCTGAATGTTACCTTGAATAAGATGGTGGAATGAATAATTTGTTGAAACTTGAAGATCACCCACCCTTTGACCCTTTCCGCCAAACATTCAATAGGAATGCTATTAAAGTCACTAATTCCACAAAATACCAATCCCCAAAACCATCCTATTTTTATTTTCATGCTTGGCAAATGCCCGGAGGCTTTTGTATTTGTCCATTTTTTTTTCCTTTATTAGATTCTCATGAACAGTGATCTTGACAAATTTTGTTCTGACAGATAAATTTAGTCCAAAGTAGAACAGTTGTCATTGGATCTTTCTTTCTAAGGGAAAACAAACTAATGTATGTAACTCAGAATCAGACACTTTTAATGATTAAAAAAAAAATCCTAGTTCAAAATCGAAAGAGAACAGATGATCAAGTCAGAAATTGACAATTTGAAAAGCTTATCATATAATGGGTTGGTAAGGAAACGTTTTATTACTAAGCTGATTTGGAACGATATAAACAGCTTGAAACTGACTTGTACTTTTTTTTGAAGCAAAAAAACTGACTTGTACTTAGCATGGAAAGTAAACTGTGGTTGTTTTTTACATCACTTGGTATGCAAACAGACCTTTCAGTGATGTATGATGAGAGGATCATATGACCAAACTATGCTGTTTGTGTCTTTTAGTCCTCTCCTTGAAGTGGTCAAAAACTTTTGAGTAGAGAGTATCAAAGACGCAATAACACAACACAAATCTTTGACAGTAAAAAAACGATGTCATTAAGCTCTCAAGAACACTTCTTGCTTTGACAGGTGGACCATGAAATACCCATTTTTCCTAGCCCGTATCAAGCCCAACAAACATTCCACATTTTCACGTGTAAATTGATTCTGTCTTTCCCTTTCTAAAAAATCTCGGGAAATCTTTTGTCAAAAAAAAAGAAAAAAAAAAGAGAGAAAATCCTGGGAAATCTAGGACAATCAAATTTTAATGGATCAGAAAAGTGTTTATTACCCATATATTTTTAAAATTTTGAGAAAAATGAGATATGTATGAGATTGTTTTTTTTATTTTAATTGATAAACAATGTATGTGTAATTATTATATAATTTAAATAATTAATATAATATTTTTTTAACATAATTACCTATTATACTTTCACATTATATTTTTTAAAAAATTTTACATTTTGATTATTATATACTAAACCAAAATAAAGGTATGTCATCTCTCCCGTTTCGACGGTCGCGACACCCGTTCAAAAAGCCCAAAATCGGGGCCCCTCCTTTTCTCATTCCATTTTTAAAATGTTAATTCACGAAATTAGGGTTTTCATTGCTTTTAATTTTTAATTCCAGATCATAAAGACGAAGAAACAGAGCAGACCAAAAAAGATACCCAGCCAGCCAGCAGAGTCAACATCTACTCCTATCAACCACACCATACGTCTTAAGCTTGACTGAACCATATATCCTCCATGTTTTCTTCACATCTCCCCAAACCCCACAGAACTGAAGAATGAGACATTCAAACTGCATCCTCTTGTTCTTCACGTCCCTGGTTATCTTCTTCCCAACAATCTCCCTCTCCATAGATACCTTGACTGCAACTAATTCTGTCACTAATGACCAAACCCTCGTTTCCTCCGGCGATGTTTTCGAGTTGGGATTCTTCAGTTCCGGGAGTCCAGACAAATGGTATGTCGGGATTTGGTACAAGAACATTCCTGAGAGAACCTACGTGTGGGTTGCCAACAGGGACAACCCACTTTCTAACTCCTCCGGAGTTTTCAAGGTTGCAGATCAGAACATTGTTCTTCTCGACCAAAATCAGAAACCAGTCTGGTCATCGAACATAACGAAAGGTGGTAACACTACCGCTGCGGTGCTGTTGGATTCTGGAAACTTGGTCCTGAGAGAAGCAGAGGATCCCAGCAACTATCTCTGGCAAAGTTTTGATTTTCCGACCGATACCCTGTTGCCGGACATGAAGCTGGGTTGGGATCTGAACACAGATTTGGACAGGTATGAAGTTTGAATTTTTGACAGAAATCTAGAATTAAGGTTCTGCCAACTCGGGTAAGCTCTGTTGATCTTTTTTGACAGGTACTTGACGTCATGGAGAAGCTCGGCAGATCCATCTTCAGGGGATTTCTCGTTCAAGCTTGATTACCATGGATTCCCGGAAAATTTCCTTTGGGACAATAAAGAGATAAAATACAGAAGCGGGCCCTGGAACGGCGTGAGGTTCAGCGGCGTTCCGGAGATGAAACCTCTGGATTATCTCAAGTTCGAATTTGTCACCAATCAAGACGAGGTGACTTACTCATTCTCTGTCACGACCAATAATCTGTTTTCCAGGCTAATCGTGAATCCAAGCGGAGTTCTTCAGAGATTGACCTGGATTCCGGACACCAAACAATGGAACCCATTCTGGTACGCACCGAAGGACCAGTGCGACTATTACAGAGAGTGCGGTCCGTACGGTATCTGCGACGCGAATGCATCCCCTGTTTGCAAGTGTCCGAGAGGGTTCGAGCCGAAGAACTTGCAGGCGTGGAATTTGAGAGATGGGTCAGATGGGTGTATGAGGAAGACGAATTTGGAGTGCATGGGAGACAAATTCTTACACCTGAGAAATGTGAAGCTGCCGGAAACTACCACGGCGTTTGTGGATCGGAATATTAGTCTTAAGGACTGCAGAGATCTGTGCCTGAAGAATTGTTCTTGCACTGCTTATGCTAACGCCGATATCAGAAACGGCGGCACTGGGTGTGTCATCTGGGTCGATGAACTGCTGGACATCAGAGAATACCCTTCCGGCGGCCAGAATCTGTTTGTTCGATTGGCTGCTTCTGATCTTGGTAAGTTCAATTTTCACCTTTCTTTAATTTCTACATTACAGTTTTTATATTATTAATTCCTTTATTCTTAAATAATTTTAATTTTTTTAATGAATTCAGATCTTAATTAAAACTAAATTGATTGGTGCTATTATTTTGAAAATATCATTAATATTAATATTTTTTATTATCTAAGATTCTAAATGAGAGTTTAGAACTTTAGACAATTAGACATGGGAGAAACTTGTGCATTTTGTTGTTATAGAAGTGCAGAATATGATTTCTCACTTTTTCAAACCTAAAATTTTTAAAATTTTAGCACTAATAAAAAATTTACCTCACTGGCCATTTTCTATTTCTCGTTGGTAAAAAGTTAAAAAGTTATAAGATTTTAAAATATTCTGGAAAAATTATGCACTCATGATTAAGTGATTAAATAATATCCATTATTTAAAGGTTTCATTTCAAATGTAGTAATCTCTTGACATAAATGAATAATAAAGAAGATGATTGGGGAAATTTTAGAAGATTATATTCTACTTTGTTAGGATATATAATCCCATATACTAAGAAATAAGAAATAACCCTCGAAAATTTAAAAAAAAAAAAAAGAAGAAGAAAATCTTTACACTTAAACAAGTCTCTCAAGTCAAGCTTAGAGTTGATTTTTCGTTTTTGTTTTTTTCCTCAAGTCAGGGCTAGTGAGACTAATCTCAAACTTAATTTTAATATTTAACTTACTTTTTAAGTTGTTTGAATTAATTTTTTTTAAAAATAGTTAATAATAAATAGTTAATATTTAATATTGATAATTGTTAATATTTATAATTTAAAATATTTAATTTATTTAATTAAAATTAAAAACTTATAATTATTTTAATGAAACAAAATTAACGTTCCTTTCAACTTGTTCCCTCGAGTAAAAATAATGTTAATTTTGTTTGATTTACTAGTTATATAAAAGTTAATACTCTATATCAAGTAATGACAATTTTTTTTTTGAACAAATATAAATTAAGAGAGGAAAATTTAAATCTAATACTCAAAATTGAAAATGTACCTTTTTATTAAAATTTATAATTAATTGACCTTTTCAAATCATATGCTAAATCAAGAAGTTTTTTTTTTCAGTTTGGTTGTATAATAAAAAATATAATTATTTTTTATATTTAACATACATATTTATTTCTTGTATTTTGCATGTGAGATTTTTTTCATTCAAATAGTTTTTATTTAATAAAATTGACATCCTTGAAATTTCAAGGAAATTGACATGCTCGAAATTTCAACAAAATTGATGGGGCCTCCCTTATGCCTTATTCCCTTTCAAGCAAAGAAATATCTTTGCATTCACACGGTTTGCAATCAATTATTATTTATTATTCTTTGAATTTCTTTGCAAAACGGTTACTAACTTGGCACTTAAGCGGCCTTAGCCTGCCTTGCAGTGCATTTCCCAGCAGCCTTAGGCCTGCCTTGCAACGCATTTCCCCCCTCCCCCATAGTGGGTTCAATACCCACCTTGTAAACTTGGTCAAAAGAAAGAAAGAAAAAAAAAACGGTTACTGACTTGTAATTTTAGAAGCCTTTTTTTAGCCTGCTGAAAGTTTGAATTCTTTTCCTAAAATGAAATAAAATATATTAAGAAATAAAATATTAATATTTATTAATTAAATTTATAAAAAATTAAAAAAATATTTTAAAATTATATTATTTTAATAAAACTTCACAAAAAAAATCTAAATCAGCATCATTTTTTTAAAAGATAAATTAT